TATCATATGCAATTGAATAAGTAGACCATTTCGGAATTTGAAATTTGGGACTCTCTCAATGCATAATGGGACTCATACTTTTCTGATCAGTGAGTCCCTTGGACTCGCTGCAGGTAAACTGTAAAATGATCACTGAGAGATTACCGCTTTTTCTGCAGTCAGTGATTGACTTCTATGCAAAGTCATTTCTCAACTTGTGTTCCGTGCCATGTCATGCCTGTTGAGTGTTGATTTACTTCATATTAAGAAACTACTGCACTAAAACATTAATTCATAAATGTATATCATATGATTTTCTTTCTTTTTCTCAGTATAAATAACACGTACCCTGACTGTTCTACTCTTTGAATAAAATCACTTCATTCAAGCGTTCGGGAGTGCAAAGGGTTATGATGGAGGGGTGCTGCAAATCATGAGGACCCGCCAAGTGGTATGATAGCATTGTTTTATACATGTCCTTGGCTAGGCCTCAGTTTCAAAATCAGTCCTTGGTCCTTGGCCTTGGCCTCGGAAGCAAGTCCTTGGTCCTTGGCCTCGGCCTTGGGAGTCAAGTCCTTGGCCTTGGCCTTGGCCTCGGGTTGCCAGTCCTTGGACACAACACTGATTGTTTGGAACTGTGCCTCCTGTGGGTTAATTTTGCGTCTCGGACACGGGACGCAGAGGTAACGAGATGGCTGATCTCTAAACATTCTCTGAGTACTACTCCTTGGACACAACACTGCTGATTGGTTGCCCTCTATGTCAATCAAGTAACGGCATTGATGATAGGCTGATGTAGTACGTTCTGTGTATTTAGCCCCGTTGTTGGAATGGCTTTGCCACCGGCGAGGCTTTTTTGACGCTTGTCGTGTGAAAGCCCGGGAGCTTCATTGAACCAGCCCTCCATGCGGCTGGCGACCTGCAGGTTGGCCACCCCTGATTTAGAGTGTTCCATTAACCTGCCATGCATGTTTTTCGAATGTGTGAGGAAATCGGAGTACCCAGAGAAAACCCATGCAGGCACGGGGAGAACATGTAAACTTCACAAAGGAAGACCGGAGCTGGAATCGAACTCGATGTACATTTTTCCATAAATGTAAAAAACATTTACCATATATTAAAAATATATGCAACACTGTATCTTGACATATATTACCAATACATTTTCCTACATGACATGATTGTGGATATTTATAAATTTATAACTACATATATTTTGTCATATCTAAACACATCAACAGTTTATTCCTGCTAAATATATTGCGATACAATCAAAGCTACAATTTACTTTCTATTTTGCAATAGAGTACATTAATATATAATATCTCGTGTCGTATATGATCATTAATATATAATTCCATATGTTGTTTTATGGATTGGGAAAATAATATATTAGAACACTGTATCTTGCAATATTTCAATTCATAGATTGGTAAACAGATTTTTGTTGCGCAAGGGTTATCACACCTTAATAGCAGAGAGCCTTGGGATACATTTTGCGTTTAGTTCACACACACACACACACACACACACACACACACACACACACACACACACACAAATAATTATGATTAAGAAACACAATATTCCTGGATCGGATTGACATTGCCCTCACGGTCACAGCTTGAATCGGGAGCCAGTTAATGTGGAAGCAAGTCGAAGCGTTACATGGCAGTCGATATAAAAACCTAAAATAGCCGATTCACAACAACCCCAGTTGTCCTCGCTCTGGTGGTCAGAGCTAATAAAGCGGGCAGTAGAATTTCCGGTCGCTCCAAAAAAAAATAACCGCTGGCAATCGTATATCATTGCGTGAGTGAGTTTGTGAACTAATGTCCTGCATAGCGTGTTCCCTTTTCGCAAGAAAAACCTTGCGTGGTCCATATGTGCCCATTGTGGGAGTAAAAGTTATCTTGCTAATATGCTATTACCTTTTCGCAGAAGATCAATTCCAACAACTGTTTTGGTTTGTGTCGTGATCTTACCGGCAGAAGCGACGTGACTCCAAACGAGCACAAATGAAGCCACTTTGTTCATGTTGCGAGCTCACAACACACGCCGATGTCCCGTGAAAGAACTTAAAATACTAAACAACTGAGATGGGACGAGCGACACTGGTGCGTTTAGCACAGTGCCGAGAGCTGAAGAGTGAAACCCCGTATCGGTGCGTGTATTGCTTTAAGAAAGAATCACGTGACCAATCCAGGAACTGAATCCTTTGAATGTTTTTTCTTTTTTTTTAATCTTTATTCGAACAAGTCATAATACAATTTTCAATAAACAGAGAACAAAATGAACATGTTATTAATACATACACATATTACAAACATTTAAACAAAAAAGAAGCCAGGGGATTTTAAACAAAAAAATCAAATAAGGAGCATATAGCCAGAGTTTTAACAGCTTTCTTGTTTTTAGAATCCATAATAGAACTTAGGTATTGCTTTATTTCTGTTTCAAAAATTAAGAAAAGAGGTTTTAAATTACTCCATCTGGATTTGTGGATATGGAACTTGGCGAGAATAATTATTAAATTTATAATGAAGGTTTGTTTAGTATTTTTTTCCTTCCTTTCGTAGAACCCAAATAGTACATTTTTGAAGTATAGCATAAAGTCAGAGTCAATACGATCAATAACAAATCTGGATACAGCTTTCCAAAATGTGTTGGAATATGGGCATTGCCAGAACAAGTGAACCATTGTTTCAGGGTACATTCCACAAAATGAACAATCAACAGAGATGTCTTTCTTGAACCTAAGAAGATAATGCTTGGTGGGATAGTATTTGTGTATCATTTTAAAAGAGATTTCCCTTACTTTATTAGTCAGAAGGTATTTGTATGGGAGAGACCAGATTTTTCCCCAGTGTAGATTATCAACAAAATCAGACCAGTAGGTAATAATGTGTGGGATT